AATTTTCGGCCTCTAGGAATGCTTACTCCAGAAATTCTTTACTCTCCCGATGTAGTACTATATAAAAGCTGTTCATTGAAGCAGAGTCTATAATCCCTAGCCATGAAGAACTACCCAGACAATTGGTTGGAAAGTGGGTGACCCTAGAGCGTTTTTTATCGAAGTTGACTATATTTCCATGTTTCGAACAAAATTTTGGGCCTTTAAGAAAGCTTACCCCAGAAATTCTTTACTATCCAAATGTAGCACTATATAATAGCTATTCATTGAAGCTGAGTCTATAATCCCTAGCCATAAAGAACGACCCAGATAATTGGTTGGAAAGTGGGTGACCCTAGAGCGTATTTTATCGAATTTGGCTTTATTTCCATGTTTCGGACGACATTTTCGGCCTTTAAGAATTCTTACAACAAAAATTCTTTACCCTCCCGTTGTAGTAATATCCAATAGCTATTTACTAGAGCAGAGGTTATAATACCTAGCTATAAAGAACTACCAAAACAAAGGGTCGGAAAGTGGGTACCCAAATGCGTATTATATCGAATTTGCCTTAATTTCCATATTTCGGACGACATTTTCGGCCTTTAAGAATGCTTACCCCAGACATTCTTTACCCTCCCGATGTAGTACTATATAAAAGCTATTCATTGAAGCAGAGTCTATAATCCCTAGTAATAAAGAACTACCAATACAATGGGTCGGAAAGTGGGTGACCCTAGAGCGTTTTTTATCGAAGTTGACTATATTTCCATGTTTCGAACAAAATTTTGGGCCTTTAAGAAAGCTTACCCCAGAAATTCTTTACTATCCCGATGTAGTACTATATAATAGGTATTCATTGAAGTAGAGTCTATAATCCCTAGCCATTAAGAACTACCCAGACAATGGTTTGAAAGTGGGTGACCCCAGAGCATATTTTATCGAATTTGGCTTTATTTCCGTGTTTCGAACGAAATTTTGGGCCTTTAAGAAAGCTTACCCCAGAAATTCTTTACTATCCAAATGTAGCACTATATAATAGCTATTCATTGAAGCAGAGTCTATAATCCCTAGCCATAAAGAACGACCCAGATAATTGGTTGGAAAGTGGGTGACCCTAGAGCGTATTTTATCGAATTTGGCTTTATTTCCATGTTTCGGACGACATTTTCGGCCTTTAAGAATTCTTACAACAAAAATTCTTTACCCTCCCGTTGTAGTAATATCTAATAGCTATTTACTAGAGCAGAGGTTATAATACCTAGCTATAAAGAACTACCAAAACGAAGGGTCGGAAAGTGGGTACCCAAATGCGTATTATATCGAATTTGCCTTAATTTCCATATTTCGGACGACATTTTCGGCCTTTAAGAATGCTTACCCCAGACATTCTTTACCCTCCCGATGTAGTACTATATAAAAGCTATTCATTGAAGCAGAGTCTATAATCCCTTGTAATAAAGAACTACCAATACAATGGGTCGGAAAGTGGGTACCCCAATGCGTCTTTTATCGAATTTGGCTTTATTTCCATATTTCGGACGCAATTTTCGGCCTCTAGGAATGCTTACCCCTGAAATTATTTACTCTCCCGATGTAGCACTATAAAAAAACTATTTATTGAAGAAGAGTCTATAATCACTAGCCATGAAGAATTACCCAGACAATTGGTTGGAAAGTGGGTGACCCTAGAGCGTATTTTATCGAATTTGGCTTTATTTCCATATTTCGGACGACATTTTCGGCCTTTAAGAATTCTAACCCCAGAAATTCATTACCCTCCCGTTGTAGTAATATGCAATAGCTATTTACTAGAGCAGAGGTTATAATCCCTAGCTATAAAGAACTACCAAAACAATGGGTCGGAAAGTGGGTACCCCAATGCGTCTTTTATCGAATTTGGCTTTATTTCCATATTTCGGACGCAATTTTCGGCCTCTAGGAATGCTTACCCCAGAAATTCTTTACTCTCCCGATGTAGCACTATATAAAAGCTATTCATTGAAGCAGAGTTTATAATCCCTAGCCATGAAGAACTATCCAGACAATTGGTTGGAAAGTGGGTGACCCAAGAGCGTATTTTATCGAAGTTGACTATATTTCCGTGTTTCGAACGTAATTTTCAGCCTTTAAGAAAGTTTACCCCAGAAATGTTTTACTATCCCGATGTAGTACTATGTAATAGCTATTCATTGAAGTAGAGTCTATAATCCCTAGCCATTAAGAACTACCCAGACTATGGTTTGAAAGTGAGTGACCACAGAGCATATTTTATCGAATTTGGCTTTATTTCCGTGTTTCGAACGAAATTTTGGGCCTTAAAGAAAGCTTACCCCAGAAATTCTTTACTATCCCAATGTAGCACTATATAATAGCTATTCATTGAAGTAGAGTCTATAATCCCCAGCCATTAAGAACTACACAGATAATTGGTTGGAAAGTGGGTGACCCTAGAGCGTATTTTATCGAATTTGGCTTTATTTCCATATTTTGGACATTTTCGGCCTTAAATGATGCTTACCCCAGAAATTCTTTACCCTCCCGTTGTAGTAATATCCAAAAGCTATTTATTAGAGCAGAGTTTATAATCCCTAGCTATAAAGAACTACCAAAACAATGGGCCGCAAAATGGGTACCCAAATGCGTATTATATCGAATTTGGCTTTACTTCCATATTTCGAACGAAATTTTAGGCCTTGAAGAAAGCTTACCCCAGAAATTCTTTACTATCCCGATGTAGTACTATATAATAGCTATTCATTGAAGTAGAGTCTATAATCCCTAGCCATTAAGAACTACCCAGACAATGGTTTGAAAGTGGGTGACCCCAAAGCATATTTTATCGAATTTGGCTTTATTTCCGTGTTCGAAATTTTGGGCCTTTAAGAAAGCTTACCCCAGAAATTCTCTACTATCCAAATGTAGCTCTATATAATACCTAGGTATTCATTGAAGTAGAGTCTATAATCCCCAGCCATTAAGAACTACCCAGACAATGGTTTGAAAGTGGGTGACCCCAGAGCATATTTTATCGAATTTGGCTTTATTTCCGTGTTTCGAACGAAATTTTGGGCCTTTAAGAAAGCTTACCCCAGAAATTCTTTACTATCCAAATGTAGCACTATATAATAGCTATTCATTGAAGCAGAGTCTATAATCCCCAGCCATTTAGAACAACCCAGATAATTGGTTGGAAAGTGGGTGACCCTAGAGCGTATTTTATCGAATTTGGCTATATTTCCATGTTTCGGACGACATTTTCGGCTTTTAAGAATTCTTACCCCAGAAATTATTTACCCTTCCGTTGTAGTAATATTCAATAGCTATTTCTTAGAGCAGAGTTTATTTTTCCTAGCTATAAAAAACTACCAAAAACAATGGGTCGGAAAGTGGGTACCCAAATGCGTATTATATCGAATTTGACTTTATTTCCATATTTCGGACGACATTTTCGGCCTTTAAGAATGCTTACCCCAGACATTCTTTACCCTCCCGATGTAGTACCATAAAATAACTATTCAATGAAGCAGAGTATTTAATCTCTAGCCATAAAGAACTACCAAGACAATGGGTCGGAAAGTGGGTACCCGAATGCGTCTTTTATCGAATTTGGCTTTATTTCCATATTTCGGACGCAATTTTCGGCCTCTAGGAATGCTTACCCCAGAAATTCTTTACCCTCCCGATGTAGTACTATATAAAATCTATTCATTGAAGCAGAGTCTATAATCCCTTGCCATGAAGAACTACCCAGACAATTGGTTGGAAAGTGGGTGACCCTAGAGCGTATTTTATCGAAGTTGACTATATTTCCGTGTTTCGAACGAAATTTTGGGCCTTTAAGAAAGCTTACCCCAGAAATTCTTTACTATCCCGATGTAGTACTATATAATAGCTATTCATTGAAGTAGAGTCTATAATCCCTAGCCATTAAGAACTACCCAGACAATGGTTTGAAAGTGGGTGACCCCAGAGCATATTTTATCGAATTTGGCATTATTTCCGTGTTCGAAATTTTGGGCCATTTTAAGAAAGCTTACCCCAGAAATTCTTTACTATCCAAATGTAGCACTATATAAAAGCTATTCATTGAAGCAGAGTCTATAATCCCCAGCCATTAAGAACTACCCAGATAATTGGTTGGAAAGTGGGTAACTTTGAACGTTGTTTTCAATTTAGACTTGTTTATATTTTTTCGTTTGGGCTTGTATTATATTTTGCCTTCGGGTTTATATGATCCATTCATCCTATTTCGACTCTTCAAAATTCAAGAGTCTATCCTAAATTGAGGTAAATTATATGGCCTTCTAAATACCGTTTCGATTCCTAACATCACTGAAGAGACAATAATTGTCGAAATCCTGATATGGTGTACTTATTTTTGCACCTTTTGTTTGGGGTATACCATATTTTCCTCAAGTCTATTGTTTCTGTTTGGTATTAAATTAATATTTAAGATCCATTTTGTTACATCTGGTGATCCGTTTATTTGGCAATCGCCAATGGCAGTCAGCAGGGTTTAAGAACATCCGTTGTTCGACCTGCTAGTCAAATGCGTTTTGTTAAAATATACTTTTTCACTTTTTTGGTCTTTTGGAAAATGTTGTTTGTGCTGTATTTAAACCACTCTACCAATAAATTTGTTTTGCATGCACACGTATAAAAGTTACGGTTTTTATCCAACGCAATCATAGGTTTGAACGTTGTTTTCAATTTAGACTTGTATATATATATATATATATATATATATATATATGGCATTATGGAAATTTAGTTTAATGCTTATTTTGAGTGCTGTTGATTCATAATTATTTGTTGGATACCAATTCTCATGGAATTCGTGGGTACAGGTGAACCACGAATTTTAATATTCAAAGAATTACAAATTTTATATAGGCTTGTATGCAAACTTTGTCAAAACCACTAAATCGAATATCCACGAAGATGTAAATTTTCTCAAGTCCAAGTAAATTGATTTCCACGAATATACAGAAATCCACAGAATCTTAAGTTTAACTTACTTTTCGTTTTGTATCTCTGGGCATTGAAAGATACCAGCCAAATTGCTAAAATGAACACACTGATAATCTGCAAATAAATTGATACATAATTGTTATCTATAAACTGTGATAAAAAATTTTAAAATCATATGTCCTCGTAAAATAGTTTGTTCATGCATTATCGGCATATCTATCGCTCCAGTGTGAAGTATCAAAGATAAACCTTTAGTGTTTTTGTGTCGTGTTTTGAAGGCTTGTTTTTTCTTTTTTTATTTTTTGTCATCGTGTTGTTATTTTCTCTTCCATTTATGAGTTTTGAATGTCCCCTTGGCATCTTTAACATCTTTTCCCACTTATCCTCTAACTATGTTGACACATGAACAATGATTTCAACAAAACGATGTCTCAATTTACTGAATGATGTGTTTGTGTGTGTGTATTTCTGCTGATTAAATATATATAGTTTACTTTTCCCACATCTCCCATTAAGGCATTTATCAATATGTTATCAGTATGTTAAATATATCGCATTTGTATGCATGTGAATAAGATGAAAACACTCACTAGATTTTATCACAAGTTTAGAATGTATGATGAAATCAGGATTTCACCTGCTAAATAAAGGCATTTCATACCCGGATTTTGTAATGTTGCATGAGTTTTAAATTTGATTAGCTGAGGATAATGAACATTACAGATTATCTCAGTCCGAAAGACAGGTACACCTTATAATCATTTTATATTCTAAAGATTATCATGATAAGTTGCCATGAGCCATTATAATACAGACGTAAGACGATCAGATTGATATTTACCCTCACAATATCTCTTTTACAAAAAGTAAATGCCGTACGCCGTCACTGCCCACGGATAACATTTTAATGCCTGGCATTCTGTTTAACATTAATCGCAGGGAAGACAAAATATGTTATTGTAAACACTAAGCAAATAGTTGTGTGTGTGTATGTGTGCGTGATGTATTAAGTACATCCATGTGATCATAAGTCATAAATAGTTGTTCCGTCATTCTCAGCATATGCATGTTATATATATATTAGGGCATCTTGATGGTGTTGTTAGATTGTTATCTTACTTACATTAACATTAAGTCTACCTTTGTACATCATATCATATAAATACAAAATATACTGCATTTAAGATTACCTTCCAATAGGATAGGCTTAAATTGTTCTGTATTTTGTTTATAATTTGCTTTTATAATTACCTGGTGTAAGATAGTGGTCTACAGGACAAGCCTTGTAATAACAACTACAATCTTCTTGAGAGGGTACACAGTAGCAGGTTGCTTTTGGCTTTGTAACAAAAACAAAATTGTTTAAGTAATTGCATCGACATGATCTGTCATGAGTAGTTGTTCCATTGCTGAAATCTACCTGTCCTTCTCCGTTACATTGCGATTTCAGCATAACACAGTTGCTACTAGTGTTAGAAGGCAATTTTAAAGGTTGAAACCTTTCTGCTCCACATTGCCGTATATCTAGCATGCCACTTATAACAAATTTATATCCTGAAACGAAACTATACTTTATAGTGTACCATATGGTGAACGGTAGCACAAACATAGCTCATAAAATCTTCTTATCAATAACTCAGTACAATGTGAGCTGAAAAAAATCGTTAAAAAGTAATAATAATTAACCTGAAATTATATTAAAAACTATAATGTTTTTTGTCTCTCTGTTCGTGTAAATGTTTCGAGCTTATACATTTTATAGAATATCAAGAACGCGTTATGAAGAAAGTAAAGGTATGCTAGTTATTTAAAAACTGGAAGTGTGACGAAATGATTGAAGCTGTAAATTTTCTCCTTTACATCAATTATGTACGTTTCGGCAATACAGTTTATTGACATTTTGTAAATATCCATATGAGCCCCTTTAATAGCAGATTTGTTCCTGTGTAGTTATGAATCACAGTTTATGACAAAACTAAGTAAAGGCCCGTCTAAATTCCATTTATTTGATGATTTAAACAACACTTCGCGTTATCTTCATTCTATTTTCGTTAAATGATCAAGAATTCTTAATATACTGCAGAAATTTACCCACAGGACTGACTTTAAATGAATCAAATATAAACAACAATAACTGTCCTTTCCTGTATTTAGATATTTGATATTTACACTAGAAACTCTACACAAAAAATTGCGATAAACGAAATTATATTTCCTTTCCTATTGTGAATTTTCCGTTTTTGGACGTTTTGCAGTCACCACCACGAATTGTTTGACCGATACGAATTGGCTGTGTTTTACAACTCACACACTGTTTACGCACTATTATATCTTTAGATACCAGAATAGTCGTCTAATCTCTAAATTTACATAGTGTGTCTTATTCCCGATTGTGATGAGTGATTATTCGCATAGCTTATGATTAGGACATAGCAGAAGACGATTATTCTGTCTATATCTAGACTATTTTAGTTCTTGCGATTCCCTCCTTTTTTTTTAAATTTTAATTTGTGTTTTGAAAGATTTATTAAGTTTGAACATTTGTAATTACTGTTGTCTCCAATTTAACACAAAGTATTTTTTGTTAAGTAAAATCAGAAAGAATCAGTATATGAAATCAAGTCATTAAAACTATAAGTACATATAAAGAAAAAGGGTAGGTTATTCGCCAACGAGACAGCATGTTAAACAAATTTGGGTTTTGTTTTAATGTTGAAAATTCCAACCACTTTGGTCCTCAATGCTCTTCAAATTTGTACTTTACCTGGCTATTTTAACTTTTTGATTCGAGCGTTTGACTATTTATATTTCAGATAATTCGCTTGCAGTCAATTTAGTACTGTTCAGTAGTTTTTCAGACAATTCAGTAAAAACAAGTAAATAACAACTACCGAACAATCTGATCATAGACTGAATAGATCTTTAAAGTGAAAATTGACAAAGACTGAAAATGACTTAATATTTTAATGTTCAGTCTTTTAAGAGGGACGAATGATACCAGAGGCAGAGTCAAACTCATAGATCGAAAGCAAACTGACAACGCCATGGCCAAAAATAAAAAGACAAACAGACAAATAATAGTACAGATGACACAACATAGAAAACTAAAGACTAGGCAACACGAACCCCACCAAAAACTGGGGGTGATCTCAGGTGCTCCGGAAGGGTAAGCAGATCCTGATCCACATCTGGCACCCGTCGTGTTGCTTATGTTATTACAAATCCGGTAAATAGTCTAATTCGGTAGGTCACATTCGTGAAAAGGGAAGATATTGTAGTTACGACATAAGGAACATATCCGATATCATCTGTGAAACGGTTATTCCATAACGGTCAACCAACTCGTGATGGCGTCCGTAAAATTTACGAAGGGATGATTTCAACTTCACCATTTGGAACTCTTGGTTTAAGAGCTGTTTGGAGCTGTTAAGAGCTGTTTGGATCACACTAAACATTTCAGATCAAAATGTTTGTATATGTATGTAGTTACCTGGTCCTAGAAAATGTAAACCAAATTCACAGTTTTCGTTGAACGTGTTTTCATTGGTGTCAAGTAAACATGTGTATTTCCGTGAATTGTTGCAATGTCCGTAACCACGGATTTTCCATTGTGGCAATTCAGGACAGTTCAGTTGATAGGATTGAATGAAGAAAGGGAATACTATCAGAGAGAGACCTGAAATGAAAAGAACAATGATCGTGAACCAATTTTTCAATTATTTGCATTAATTTTTAAATCGCTATCAAATTTGTCATACAAAAACTCAGTTTCCCACTAAGCTTTTGGGTTGTAAGATTAAGTAGAACAAAATTACAAACCTGTATGTTATCTTTGATGAGTTTTATTGTACATTAACGTATTACAAACCAAAAAAACAAATTTGCAGCTGCTTAAATCTCATCAATTGTTTAAGAAGACAAAAACAGACAAAACAATGGGACTCGCATGAACTCCAAAAAGAGCAAAACCGGCCGTGTTGACATTTAAGACATTCTTAAAACAAGATGATTCCTTGAGCAAGTATCACTCTCGTGGCTTTGGTATTGTGGCAAATGTGAGTTAATGACAAAATATTCTCACCTTCATTTCTACTATATTACAGTGTAAAAACTTTGATTAGTTGTCAGAATAGCATCATCATCAATTTAAAAAAGCTAAATCTTATCATGAAGAATAAAAAGTGGTGTTTGCTGTGTTTGCCAAGAATTGATTACATCAGACGAATTGTGTTTTTAATATCTTCATCAGAACCTACTCTCATTATACTGACTGTTCTTGGCAGGATACAAATGTGTGATGCTTAAGGGTTTAAGTGGGGTATTTAATATTGCGGAATACAATTTTGTCCATGAGTATACATCTTTAATTATAGCCAACTAGAGGAAACGAAACAAAGAATAGCGTGCTTCTTGGACACCTAACGATATACACCTTGGTGAATGTTCATATATAAAGCTGTTGAAAGTCTTTATCAAATTATATTCCTCAATGAAGAGGAACAGATGTCGGACAACAATAATTTTGTAAATCTAAACTCGTTGAAAATGTCACTGCAAGGTACTGCATTTTTTATTGTATTTTTAAACATTGGGTTTGCTATTTATAGCTTAAAATTTAAGGTGTTGTTCGTTCAAAACATATTGTCTAAAACGACTTCTATTTGGCATTAAAATAGCACCCAATATTTTATTAGTATAAATATATTCAACTCCTTAAAACAAAAGTGACAGCTGTCTTTTACTATTTAATTTTGGGGTACTTTTGGTCTTAAAACTTTTAACATTATTACGTACTTATCCCCAGTTTTTTGTTTATTACCTTGATTTGTCTCTTCATAATCGATTTTCGAGATTTGAACATCGATGATATAGTGTCGCCTAAATGTATACCGCATTAAATATTTAGGTTTGGACATTTTCGATAAATGTAATCCAGAAAAACGCCTCAGACGAAAGAAATGTTTCAGTGTTATTTTCATTTACTTTCACTGGGTCGAAACCACTGCGGGTGGACTGTTAGCCCCTTAGCAGTGGCATCAACTACTAGTCATGGCTTCGGCAACGCTCCTAACATTTCTACGTTTGTATGCATCTCTGGCTTTAAAAATTGTAAAAAGGTAATACATTACTAAAAGGCATTGTTACAAGACAGAGATGTAAAAAAACAGTCTTGTATGTAACCTTTTGTGGGAATCGATCGGCTAGTAGATGGCATATAGACAAAGCACATAAGCAAAAATGTATGACAAGAATACAAAAATGACCACAGCACAACAACACAATGGCGGGATGCATAAAAAACCGAGCCGGGCCAAAAGGATATTAACAAAAATGGACTAAACAGTTAAGGTTAATAGTTTAAAAAGACAAATAAAAGAACACTATAACACGCAATTAAGAGGATAAACAACGTCAGTAACTAGAATCCATACTTCAAGACCATCATGTATTATTTTTGAAGTTGATACGAAATATCTATCAACAAGGTCTTGGTATCTTCCGATGAACTTTCTTAGAAAAAGGACGAGATGTTCTTTCACATAACCCTGGTTCATCGACCTTCTGGTCAGACAATGGTGACGTTTTATAAAGTCTGATTAGCAGCTGCTGGCTCTTGAATACCGAATGAGTTGGGAAATGTATATCCCATATGGAGGTGAAGTTTGTATATTGCTACTAAAGTGGGGGAAATTGATAATTTCAAAATTAAAATCGTCTCGTTAGTCATAGATTCTTCCTATAAGAATGCCGACAATTTGTTGAAAAAGTCTACCTCCAAATTCAACAAATATGTTGTCAATAAGAAACTCCAGCATACTGATAACTTGTTCCTCTGTGTAGAATGTTTACTTTTTTGTTCACTATTAACAAAATATGCCATATGGTAACCCAAAGTAATAAATTTATAGCGTATGCTACCATTTCTATATTGAAAAAGCATTGTGGATTATTTCTTTTATACGATTTTTCAATGTCACATGGGGAATGTGAAATACAGGGTGGAAAAATTAATAATTTTGATAGAATTAATTTCAGAGAAAGATCGAGATTTAAAATTATCCAGAAGTTCTTTAGAGTTTTTTATAATCAACATATAATTAATACCACTACGCGAGTGAACAGTTTCACAGTATTTCTGAAGAACCTCTTTCACTGCGGACAGAATTTTTGTCAATCTAATGAACAATTCCTTTGTAGAACATGTAGATGAGCCGGCAATGTACCGTTGTTTGTATGGAATTTTGTGAAGCTTAGGTATCCAATACAAACAAGGTAAGTCCTCAGACTTGCTGTTCAATGTAATGTTCATTGAAGCCATGCAGGACTTATGATTCGCCAAAATCTCATCCTTGTCAAATGATATGTTTTTGTATGTAGGACTACTGAGTGCTGAAAATATACGGCTCCAACCATCTCATCATAGTTCCAGTAAGTATATGTAGCATATTTACTCGTTTCATTACAGAAGAAGGCTTTATATGAGTTTCGGAAAATAAATGTACCATCAGATCGATTTTTCAAAGGAACATTCAATTAAATAAGCAAACTTATGTTTGATGAGACTGTGTTGAAGTGTAGTGTAGAAAGTCGTATAGTCATAACTGTCAACCGAATTGAAAGTACCACCAAAAGCACGAACTTTATCTTAAATAGCTAGTGTTTTACACTGATATTTTCGTATGATTTATTACAAAAGCTGACGATAAGTACTCTAATTGTAGAAAGGGAAGTATTTGAAGGATAGAAAAAATTATTTGTAGACCACTTAGTTTAAGACGAAATGAAACGATATTGGACGGGGTTTTGTATAGTTAAGGTGATCAATATATAATTGGGACATCTAATGTGCCGAAAAGGCATTATGCTGAGATGCGATACTGATATGAATTTCTACTATTTGACTCTATAACGGTTAAGGCCTAAGGTGTAGAAGAATGTATGGTTTCGATCTAATGAACGTCCGTGTGGAAAATTTTAAAGTTGAAATAATCACATTTTCATGTCAAACTGTAGAAAAGAACCAATTCACCGGATGGCACGTCGCCCAGGATAAAAAGGTGCCAATCGGATGTTGTCAAGTACACATTTTCAAAATAAAATTGGTGTGTGTGTAGTCTTCAAATGCTCTTTACACTACAAAAATTCAAACAAGTTAAGTTGCATCGGGACCTGTTCTGTTCCCATTTCAGATATATTAGATTTCAGAGACAACTTGCATCATTGTTAAATGTGTCATAAAAACTGTAAACCAAGTAGTCATGAGAATCTGAATTGTACTGCTTCTAATAATTTGTACGGTATTGGATGTACTCTGTTGAATGATCTATGTCGGTGAAACACGGCAAAGACTTAACGAAAGAAGGAATGAACACCGGTCTAATATTAATGATCCAGAGAATAATATTTTTTCTAGAAACACTTTCAAAAGCCTGATCATTACATTGTTTCTATGAAAGTCAGGATTATAGAGCAAAATCTATCATTTATCAAGTGATCCCATATTGAATATACCATATCGCTTACAAAGAGAAGATTTCTGAATATCAGAATTGAGAATAAATATTCCTTACCGATGCAACGACAAAATTGATAAATCATTTAACTACTCTGTTCTGTGCAAAAGGAGTCAAGGTTATCGAACGTATACACTACTTGCAGTTCACATCGTGTCCATAAATGGTTTGTTATCTTCTGTTCATAAATCTTAGACACTTCACTATATTCTAACAAAACACTCCTTTTCATACCTTTGTCAAAGCCCAATAAATTATTTCAAGAGGCCAAAAACACCTCAATTATTGATTCATATCCTGCTGAGTACCGCTCGGTTGCAACTATTATGGACATTGCTAACTATAGGCTATTCAAACCGGTGACAACTAATTCAAACAATAATGAAAAACGTAGTTGATTCCATGTAGATTTGCTACATTTTGTAATAAAGGTTTGGATGCCATCAATATTAGCAATATTTCCCCCCACAAAAATCTATATAGAAAACAATACTTGATTATTTCAAAGATAATACTACAGTTGTCAATTTATATCCCTACACCAAACCTATTTAGACCACAAGAGGGTATTAGAGACTTTTAAACTTAGAGATGTAATATCCAACCCTCCCGATTGTTCTACATGTTCTAGTGCATCGGCCACATACAAATATAGTCTCGCTTGTCGTGTGATAACTGAAGACCTTGACATCGTAAACAATGAACCAGGTTACTGATCGATCCAGTTAAGGAAAATTGGTAAGGAGCGAGATATTCCGACCCTCTAAAAACTTTAGAATCCCACATATACCCCTACATCATCTACGAAAGAAAAGATTGCAGAAAATCACAAATCCGTTCTTCTCTCTTTTTGGTATTAATATAAAACAGGACGATGAAAATCCCCCATCTTTATACTCGATACCTAAAACCACATAAATCCTTATAAAGAATGATGTATAGCCGGTTCGTCAAGATGTTTGACTAAACGTATTTCTGAAGTTCTTACCACCATTCCTTGTACAGTAAAATATGGCTTTCATAAATATTGTGATGAGGTTTATTCAAAATTATAAGTATCTTCTTTTAAATCTGCAATAACTATCCTTACAATTTTGTAGTTATATCACACCCATTTTTTTTCCTACGCTTTGCAATACTATTCACCATG